CACCAGGACAAAGAGATGTGCTAGTGTCTAGATGTCACTGCCATGATAAAAAAAATTATTTGCAGGCTCCAGGCACAGAGTAATGTTACAAGCTATCCGATACAGAGCCAAATGGTGTGAAATCTTTTAAGTTCCACTTCTTATTACTTGGAAATGGAATTGGCAACTTGAAAATATTTGTCATACTTTTTTTCTACTTTGTTTCATTGCAACCCAGTGATTTTACTTTGTATATTGCAGATTTGCCTACATAAAATAATACATGGATTTGTTTGACAATTAAAATATACCTCAACTCCAAACTTTTTTTATTTTGGGTAGAGTAGGGTAGAGATAAAACCACTGTCAGTTTTTTTTTTCCATCAGTGTCCCTTAGGGAGATTTCCTGTCTTGTAGACTCAGAGGGAAGTGAGAGGATATCTTTCCAAAGTGAGGGGAATCCCCATTTAGGCCCCATTCCCACTAAACGATATCGTGAGAAGTCACCGGCCAATGCTATTCAACGGAGCTGTCTTAGCTCCATGTCGCCCGTCGCTCATCGCTGTCGCTCATAGCTGTTGCTCATCGCTGCTGTCGATGCCCTTTTTCGGCGGATTTTGCTATTTTTTAATGGAGCCCGGCGGTGAAGTTCGTGCTACGGTCGCTGGAACGTTGCCCCGAAAGTCACCACGCGGATCCGCTGCAAAAGGTAAGTCGCTTAGTGTGAATGGGGCCTTAGACAGTTGTCACAGGTGCAAGTATCCCCATCAAAAGATTTCCCCTCTATTCTGGTGGGTTTGCCTTCACTTTTATTCCCAGTGACATTGGTGATCAGGACAATTTGAGAGAGAGAGATTCTCCCTTATGGCGACACAGACAGCAAAAAACTTGACAGGGGTTTTTTACCGATCATCACTCTATCCACATCTAAAAAAAGTTTTGCCTTTGTCATAATGTAAAACTTATATATAGCCAATTTTTTTTTATTTTTCATAGAGTGGGGAAGGACTAGATCCCCTGTTAGATTGTTATTGCTGTTTATTATCCTGCTATTTGTTTCCTGCTGGTACATCTTGAATAATGATTCACAAGTACAAGTTACTAAAGCCTTAAGTGTCCCTCTCTCCCAAGTTTAGTCACTTAGATACTATAATCAGTTCGGTTTATCCCTCGAAACACATGTGCTGGTATAGCGGCCACATTGCATGTTAGAGACATTTTCACCTAATAGACACACTAGATATTTTTAGTCAAAGTGCCTGAGCACAAGTGTCACCAGAGGATGGGTTGGAGAGTATGACTAGCATTTTTGCTTTGAGGCTAATTCCTTGCTTCCAGCAGCCTTACCTCAGCACCGCATTCCAGAACTGGCTATCCTCATGACAGAGTTTATGAGACAGCTTCCAACAGCTGATTAGATAAACAGTCACATAGACTGGGCACTTCACGTGGACACTGAAAATGCTGTCTCCTCTTGTCATCCCAATAAAGAACTTATAGACAATGTTTTAACCTGTTCTCCACAACCTTTACAAGTGATGTTGCATAGGAAATATTTTACTGTATTTAATGCATCTACATGCTACTTTTATTGTCGTTAATTATGCAGACAAGAGGTCAAATTAAATGTTACGGAAAATATATCTACACCTAAGAAAATGAACTGTGTTTGAAAATAAGGCCTTTAGCTGGATACAGCAGAGTTTCTCAACCTTTTTTCATTCATGGCACCATTTTAAAGTATGCAAAATCTTGAGGAACCCTAGTCTAAAATGTTAAAAATGTTATAAACGGTGTGTGGCTGCTCCAGAATCCATACAAGGCCCTTATGTCAGATAGGGAACTGGTATGGGCATTAGGGGGGGGGACCCCATGCAAAAACAAATACATGGGGTTCCCCCCTTCAAACCAGGGTTTCCTTTCGAATCAGGAGCCCTCCTTCACATTAAAATCCCACCATTCACATCATAGTTCCCTTTACATTAGAAGCACTATACACATCAAGAGCCCCCTCCTTTACATTAGAGTCCTCCCTTCACATTAGGAGCTCCTTTTCACATGAACAACCCCTGTCACATTGAAGCCCCCCTCACATCAGAGTTCCCTTTCAAATCAGGGGCCCCTCTTCACATGAGAAGGCCTCCCTTCACATCAGAGCCCCCCCCTCCGTTTCACATCAGAATCCCAGCATTCACATCAGATTCCCACTTTACATCTTTACATCAAGAGTGTCCCTTTACATTAGGACCCCGCTCACCCTAGGAGCCCCCCTTAACATCACAAGCTGTGACTCCACATCAGGAATCCTCTTCACATCAGAAGCCCCCCTTCACATGAGGAGCCCTCCTTTCATACCAGAGTTCCCCCTTTTACATTAGAGTCCCCTTTTCACATCAGAAACCTGCCTGCACCATGGAAAGGCATGGTGCTGTGAAAAACTTTTGAGGGCATCCTGGTTATAAAAGGCTGGGATACAGCACGAGCCATTATAGGCTCAATTCACAAAGCTTTGATACAAGCTTTGACACAGGATATGAATCTTTATTTTGAGCCATATAACTATAAATTCTAAATTTAATTGGATTTAAAAAATAATGGCTGTCACATTCTTGAAAATATCTTGATGTGTTAGCTGTGGGAACTGAAGCCTATGAGGGAATGCAGAGCTTACTGCTCTGACCATCTACATCAGGCTAGAGATAGGACAATTTTCTTTTATATGCAATGAAGATGGGAACATCCATGATTAAACATCATTAGTATCTGTTTAGGAAACAGCATCCTATCAAATTTCTCTCAGATGCTCAAGCTTCGGTCATAAGTTTGTGAATGAGGCTAAGTTCTCAAATAATGCTTTGACTTTGCAGGAATTTGTAGGTAAAAGGCAAGATTTTATAACATGCATATAGTGACTAAAGAGAGGATAAAATAACTAATAGGAATAAAGAGAGGAAATAAGAGATCAATTGAAAGATAGGAGAGGACGTCTGTCGTTTAGAGGTGCCCCGGGGAGTGTGTGAATACCCACAATTATTCATGGAAAAGTGCCAGATTCTTTCCATTCTAATCCCTTCACTACTGCTAAGCAGCTCCCTCATTACTACTCACAAACACTTTTTTAACTAAGGAGCATATTGAGAACATTGAATAAAAATGAATGACATCATTATAACCTTCATATTTATCATATTTATTCTATACCCTTCACCCTTACTCATATGATTGCCCATATATTGTTGCAATTTACACATATATTTACACTGAAAACAAAATAATGCTAAGAGTATTGTATTCTCTTCTAGGTGCAGTGTTTTAAGACCTATTCACACAACAGTGCGCTGCATATTGAGGTGCGATGTGGTGTGTATGTGTGTTGTTACTATTCAAAATGAATGGCAACATGCATACACATTGTGTTGTAGTGCATTGCTATAAAGCACATGCTACTGAATGCATTACTGTGTGAATTAGCCCTTCAAGTGGACCTACTATTAAAATCACACTGCACATGATTCAATAGTACACATCTTAACTTTGCCAAAAAACATTATATCCATAAAGTACCCCTTTCTTGCCGTGAACAAAAAACACTGTTCTGAGGTCTACCTTGTCACTTGCAGCCATGCATTGTGTGTGTTTGACATTATAATTATGATACAGGATTTATATAGCGCCAACAGTTTGCGCAGCACTTTACAATATTGGAAAGACATTACAATTACAATACAATTCAAGTCAAGATGTAAGGAGGGCCCTGCCCATTAGGGCTTACAATCTAAAAGGGAGGAGACATCATATAAGTCTGCAGAGAGCCTGTTGTGTTCAATGAGAAAGACTTTCAGTGAGATCAGGGAGATAAGTGTGTCAGCAAAACCTGCTTATTTAACGGACAAAATGCTTCCTTGTGTACACATTTTAATACAAACTACACTTAAAACATGATTTGTAAATTATTAAGTTTTGATACAAATATCTACTTTTACCTGATCTTTTTGACATGTGTTTTTACAAATACAAAAAGTCTAGGTCCTGTTTAATAAATGATCTTGCTACCAATATGCAAAGGCTACGTAGAAATTAAAATAATCATAAAAACATAAAAAAAACAAAAATCATAATGATAATAAAATTGATAAAAACAGCAAACAAACGTAGCATCTTTTAGTTTAGAAACCTCTATATCATAGCGTATAAAGAGGACTCTAAAATGCTTGATTATTTATTACAAGCCCCTGATAGTATAACTGACAAGCGATAGCTTTCAAACAGTTGTTAAAGGGCTCACTGTCAAATGTATAACATGCTGACTCCTCCTTCCTTGCAAGCTTTTATTAATAACCAGCCCTTATGCATGGAGCTAAGTTTAAATACTTATGGTGATGCAATTCCTGAATTCCATAGGCTGTAAACCAAAGCACATGGGGGTGGAGGGACCAGTGTTCTGCTACTACACTAAACACACGCAGGATGTAAAACAATTTACCCAAATGCAGAGTTAAATTTGAGGTTTGCAAGTGTACCATCTACAATGCGCTATACTATGGTTATCCAGGGAAGTTTAGTGAATTCTGTGCAGTCAGCATGCAGTTCTGGACTACGTCAAGCTACTTCTCAGAATAGATTTTGTGTCTGACCTCTAATGGGAGCAAGGCAGAAGAAATAGTAAGTTCACTTCACAGTCTAGCAGACTCACAAAATGGAAAGGATCATGTAACTAGCCGGTGCCACACATGCTGGTGTCTGTCAAACTGCAAGGATCATCAGGCTTTTCAACTAGTCTGCCTTCTAGCTAATACTCCATCTCAATAAAGTCTCAATTCCCTGGAGAATGAATTACTAATCAGCTTCCTTAGTATTCCAGATTCCTTTGTCACAAAAAAACGTTAAAATCATTTAGGAAGTGTATTGACAGTTAAATAATAAAATTACAAAATGAAGAAGAATTATAAAAATATAAGTCAAGTAGATACATATCAATTACATATAAGAACAATGCAAACAATGCCTTGTGGCATACTTACTGGCGTGCCTCGCCCGGTGTTTATTGGGTCTGATGAGCTCCCTTTCTGCTTGCTGAGCCTCGTCTCCTTCCTCTAAGTCTTCTGCTTTGATTCCAAAGGAGACAGTGAAAGGAGGTGCTTCTGTCTGCCCTCCTTCTTCTCCAGATATTACACTCCCCCTGTCAGACTGAGACCTGGGCTCCTTCTCTCTCCCAGAACAGTCTAAGATCAATTCCACCCTTGGGAAACATGCTTCTCTTGTCTGCCCTGCAGAGATAATCTTTGCCTGCTGTTTGCCCACTATCTGGAATGTAGCAGATGTCTGCTGCCTAGGTGGCTCTTTTTCATCAAGGTGCTCACAGGCAACTTCATCTTGTAGCACAATATGTTCTGTTCCTGGAGATGTACACTGGTCCACACCCAGGAGAGTTAGAGTAGGAGAACCTACACTGCCCAAATGTATGTCCTGGGGGAGTGACAGTTGCAGTTCAACCATAGCACCTTCTTCTATTCTCCTTGTCAGTGTGATGTCGCCTGTTATGCCATCTTTGGAAGTTTCTAACACTCTAGGGGCAATCTTGTGTTCCAGCAGGACTTCATTATCTTTCTTTTCTTCTATCAATGCTGTATCGTAACCCGTTTTTGAAAAGAGTGACTGATCTTGCATTTCAGAGATGTTCTGTTCTATGGGCAACGTTTCTGGGCCAAGACAGATCTGTAACATGGTACTTTCAGTGCCCAGTTCTCTGTTAATATTTTCCTGTTGTGCATTGTTACTTTCTGCCGACTGTGGCTTGCTTGGTGACCTGCAACAAAAATCATAAATGTAACATTCTGTTTTCTAAAGCTATAGCTTTACAGAGTGGTGGATGCAAAGCGATGAAAGCGTAAGGGCATATAAAACTGTTATAATGCTTTTCAGCATATGCAGAAGTATTGGAGAGAATGCAGCCAGGCTATCTGTGATGGGAATCTTACCACTGGGTACCCAAGAGATATGTAAGACCAACGGGTGATTTCAAGTGTTCATGAACACAGTGCATTCAAAAGCCAATGTAATTCAGTAAATAGTATTACAAGGGTCAAAAAACATTTATTCTCTTAAAAAGTCATCTTTTTTGTAACCTTTAAATAATTTTTTCTCGCAGTCACATCCCTCTTCATCATGGTTAGGGTGTGGCTGTTTAGCATGAGGCATGGCAAGGATTTTAACCAACATTGTTACAGTTTCCTACCTGTTGCTGTTCTGAAAATAGCAGTTTGTTTCGACATGTTCTTTCCAAACTGATCTCTGAATAGGACTGTCTGGATTCATTATAATCAGCTTGTGGGATTCCTGTGTTGTAATTGGTACAGTGCAGGTGCAGTGTCAGCATCTCTTTAGTAGCAATTAACCCTTAGGGAGTATCTTACCGAAAATGTAATTCCTTTTTGCATGGGATGCCTAAAACTGTACTTGAATCTTGCAAAAAAAAACCCTCAAAAGAACGGCACCTTCTCCTCGTGAAATACTGTTTATTGATCATTATAAAACTGAATAATGTAATACTTGCAAGCGCTGTCTGTTATATGAGATTTCAGAACAACCTTCTGGACTGATGTACAACCTTCTGGGCTGAACTGTCAGACAACCAAATTGTGAACCAGAGCAATAATCTTTCTGATGTGTTTCAAGGGGCATACCCTCTTCATCAGAGCAAGTGGCCAAGTTGCACTGATGAAGAGGGTATACCTCTTGAAATACATCAGAAAGATTATTGCTCTAGTTTACAATTTGGTTGCCCATCTCTGTAGATCAGTCCGGAAGGTTGTTCTGAAATCTCATACTGTATAACAGACAGTGCTTGTGAGTATTATTTTATTTAGTCTTATATGGATAAATAAACAGTATTTCATGAGGAGAAGGTGCCGTTCTTTTCTTTTTTTTTCTTGCATGTTTCCTGAGGCTTCCCAATCTGTCACTTCTTTTCTGAGTATTCCCTCCTTATGATGTTGTATTCCCTCCTTATGAGTTGTCTTAAGGTTCAGCCCATCTCTGTATCTCCTGTAAGCAGGAAGTACCTCTTGAAATACATCAGAATACCTCTTGAAATACATACAGCTGTACACCAACAGAACACCTCCAGGTCGCCATATTGCATTCAATTTTCTTTACAGATTTAGAACATTTAGGGAGTTATTCACAAAGCTGCCAAAGGCAGCCGAGTGAATAACCGAGCTAAGTGAAGTGAGCCGAACGACGTTCGGCTATTCAATCCGGTTCAGTATGACTGATTTCAGCTGTACATGGGCTGAAATTGGCTGTACATGGGCTGCCTTCGGCTGCACTTCGGTCAGCCGAACATGCAGAGCCAAAGTGCAGAAGGACTTCGACTCAGCCGATCCAACATCTGGATCGGCTGAGCCAAAGCTTCAGCAGCTCACTCGCTGCCGTTCCCCCTATATTCAATCCAGCTCAGTATGGCTTCCTGGCCAATCAGGAAGCCAGGCGGTGGGTAATGACCTGCCGTCCAGCTTCCTGTTTGGCTGGAAAGGCGGCTCCATCCTCCCAGAGGTACTGGTATCAGTATTCGGTATCGGAGAGTACCGAAAAATAAATATCAGTACTCATAATCGATACCAAAAAACCGCATCCCTGCATCCCTAGCATACAACAAGGTGTAAAGTCGAGTTGTCTATAGCAACAATCTGGTAAAATATTTTAATGCGCTTTCTGCTCTAACTGGATAGAACCTAAAATGTAATGGTTGCTATGGATTAGTGCAATTTGTACATCCCTATGAATCATTACATAAGGACACCTATTCTGAACAAAACAGTGGAGGGAATTCATAAAAAGTAGAGCAGACAGAACCTGGAGCAGTTGCCCATGGCAACCAATCAGCTTCTCTCTATTATTTTCAAAGCTTAAAGGAGAACTATGGGGTCAGGGCTTTTCCCCATAGTTCTCCTTAGGGTAACGGGAGGACACAAACTAGCGTCCTCCCGTCACCCTAAACTCAGTATACCGCGAGCTACAGCTCGCAGTATACTGAGACGGCGCAACTGAAGCGGATCCCGACAATTATGTCTGATCCGGCCAGCTGCGTGAGTGACAGCTGGCTCTGCCTACCTAGAGACAGAGCCAGCTGTACTCGCCCCCTCCCCGTCCGTTCCGCCAGTCAGCGCTGGAGGATCGGAGCGGGAAGGGGGGAATCCAGCCCCTCCCCTGTCACGGCAAAGAGCCGTGACAGGATCGAGAAGTGAGCGAACGTCGCAATGTGTTCGCTCACTTCCCGATCTACTGAGCCGACCTGTGACAGTCTCATTGTCACAGGTCGGCTAGAACTATGAGGTGAGTGAAAAACACTCACCTCATAGTTCTCCTTTAACTGAAAAGAGAAGCCGATTGGTTACCATGGGCAAATGCTCCAGATTTTGTCTGCTCCTCTTTTTAGAGCAGCAGTATGTATATGCAGCTACTAAATAGTGGACTTGGAAAAACAGAATGAGGCTTCATAGAAGAATAGATTTCCAGACACACATTTTAATAATGACTGTCCCTAATTAGCTTTACTAATTACTAATTCAATTTCCCTGAATGTTCACCATCTACATTTACAACGGGAATCATTCATTATGCAGTTTATAAGTTCATTTAACAAACCTGTGCATGAATGGGGTTTAAATCATTTTTATTTTCCTTTAATCTTCTACATGGCAAAGTATGTAGCATACACCAAAACACCTTTATGTTACGAAAGTGCATGTGCTCTAATGACGGGATTTTTTTGAACCTTTACACTTACCTCCAAATCATAGCTAACATGCAGCTTTCAGTGTATTCCCAACACTGTGAAAAAATCTTTGGTGGAGAGTGAATGTGGAAAATGATTTCATACAAAAGAAAGTCCATCTGCTTGACACATTATTAAAATCTTGCCTGCCATCACATTTTACTTAATTCATGGGTTAAAGTGATATGAAAGTCTAAAGATTTTATGGCTAATTCAAATGCGGATTAAACCACTTACAATGGATACAGTACTTTTCACAGTATACAGTACCGGAAGATGGTAGTGTGAACTGTGCAGGTGCGTGACAAGGCAAATTTTCTTATTAATTTTTTCCAACACAGCACCAGCACATCTGGTGGGAATGGGCCCTTTGTCTTCTTTTTGCTTATTAAAGTGTATCTAAACCCAAGAAAAATAATTAATATATTTCAGCATGCAATAGATGTGGTGGCATTATTTTCTGTGATTCAGGATGTTTTCAGCTGATGACTCTGTCTGTTCCACACTTCCTTTCTTAGCGTGACAATGCTCACTTACTGTACTGTATAGAGGAGCAGTGTTGTCACCCTATGTCTGGACTACAGAGCATCTCCTCTTCTCTTCTTTCTAACATATTTGGGGGGTGTTCTGTACTAGAATTAGCTAAATAGAATGTAATTAATAACAGTCAGGACAGGCAAGGAGCACAGGAAGTTCTCAGGTCACAAGATTTCTGACAGAATCAACAGGTATTTTTTGCACTTGTTAAACAGATATTTAAAAAAAACACTTTCATCTTTATATTTAAAAGACCAAAAGTGAGCAAATAGGAGACATTTATTATTCAGGTTTAAATACACTTTAAAACTGCCCTGGCACTGGCCAGTTTCTATCGAACTCTCGGATACTGGTGATTACATGTTGGCCAGCAGCAGGACACTTTAGAAAGCATGGAGAAAAGACCTAAATGCAGTGACACAAGGCACAGATAGGTGTTTTTCTACAAGATACAGCTGCCTGAAAATTGGACAGTTGCTCTGCATTGGAAGAGAACCTTACCCCCTTCCTTTTTAGACTTGTACAGCTATATCAAAGCAGCCCAGAACATTGAATACAACAGCTAAATTGAGCAATAGTGTAGCAATATTCAAAAAAATATGGGAACCTTATGCAAAGATTTAAAGGAGAACTATGAAATGAGTGATTTCCACTCACCTCGTAGTTCTAGCCGACCTGTGACAATGAGACTGTCACAGGTCGGCTCAGTAGATCGGGAGGTGAGCGAACACATACCGGGTTCGCTCACCTCTCGATCCTGTCACGGCTCTCTGCCGTGACAGGGGGAGGGGCTGGATTCCCCTCTCCCCGCTCTGATCTGCCAGCGCTGACTGGCGGAACGGACGGGGGAGGGGGCGGGTACAGCTGGCTCTGCCTCTAGATAGGCAGAGCCAGCTGTCACTCACGCAGCTGGGCGGATCCCGACGTCCAGGTCGGGATCCGCTCCAGCTGCGTCGTCTCAGTATACAGCTACAGCTCGGGTAACGGGAGCTTAGGGTAACGGGAGGACGCTAGTTTGTGTCCCCCCATTACCCTAAGAAGAACTATGGGGAAAAAAACACTGATCCCATAGTTCTCCTTTAAGTCTTGATATTTAGTGGCATTTCACTTTCATAATTCCAGGTGAGAGAACCCTTTACCCCTTGGGATCTTTGGGATTGACCAGCCATGTTCTACTTCTACCTCTACCAGCGCCGTCTTTAATATTAGGTGGGCCCTGGGCAAGATTTTGTTGATGGGCCCCTATATCCCACCCACCTCCACCTGCCTCCCCTCATTTCTGGACCCATACCCCCCGTATCCACCTACATCATCTTCCCCCGAAAGTATAAATAAAAACAATATATGTATGTGTATATAAAGATATACTGTACATACAGTTCAATGCACTAATGCAATGTACTCAGGACTCTGCACCACAATGCACTCAGGACTCTGCACCGCAATGCACTCAGGACTCTGCACTGCAATAAACTCAGGACTCTGCACCGCAA